TGGACGGGGTCTGTGTAAGGTCATCTGTGTTCGCTCTTGGCTCTTGTGAGTCCTCCACACATCGAAGAACACGCTCCGACTGCACGCGCAGGTGTATCTGCCAACCTCCTGGCCTGGCACGCGCTCGGCGCGACTTTGGTTTTGATGCTTTTCTGTTTTTGCTGAAAGGGTGCGGAATGTGTTTCTGTTCGGAAAGCATATATATATATAGATTTTTTTTTTTTTCCTTAAACTTGAGGCACCAGTTGAGTTGCCTTTTGGAGGTTTCAGACAGAGATCGGGTGTATGAAAAGCTACAATCTAAGGAGTGACTGGGAATAAAGGGGTTGATGGTTGCCAGATTGTGGACCATCCCTTCTCAAAGCCATGGTTTGGAACTTGTGCACTGGCGGAAAGCTCAACCTGTTACCTACTCTGGGCGGATCTGTGAGGCCCATTACCAATTTTTTAGTAAAATGCTTGGCTGCTAGAGTTGCAAGATGTCCACCAGCTGCTGCTGCAGCTTGCCCAGCAGGGCAGGGTATCATCGAATGTAGGGAAAACATTGGTCCAATTGGGAACCCGCCATTGGGAACCCCAAAAATAGACATGTCACTGTATTTTGTCGTGCTCATTCTTCATAGAGGTACAGTGGTACGAACAAATTTGTACAACAGGATGTAGTTCACTCCTTTATTTGTAAAGTCTTGGCTCCTAGTCACGTCATATTCACTGTGGTATGGATCCAGGAGTAGCAAAGAAGAAGCAGATGAAAGAGAAGACCAGATTTTGGACAAAACATACCAGGAGTCACAGAGCTTGGAGTGCCCAACCCTTGGGGTCCCCACGATCCACCTCCTCACCTCCAAGGCCCGCCACCGCCGGCCGCACGCTGGTCCCGTCCGGGCCGTCGGGGTGGTTCGGGTGGATGGTCTGCTTCGGCTCGGGGTGTGGGGAAGACTTCTTGGATCTGAGTCGCCCGGATTTCCAGCCTTTGAGCTAGTTGGAGTCGCCCAGCTATGCTTTTAAGTGAGGTGAAACAACTGGAATTCGAAAAAAGGCACGTGAGCTTCTGGATGCTCGGGATGCGTCTTGGGATCCAGGTAGAGTCTCAGGTATCTCAAGTCCTCCAGTCCTCCACCAGTGCGCTTCGACTGCGAAGCGAGGCCACCCGGACCCACCGGTCTCCAGGGTCCTCCCACAGGCGCGGAGTTCGGGAGTCCGGTGCTGTGGGGAGTGCTTGGCGGTGAAGAACGGGAGTTCCAAGAACCGGGTGGTTTTAGCAACATGGGAGTTGGGAGGGTTTTCTTGAAGAACTCATCATGTCAGCATGGCATGTCATGTCTCATTCAGATCATCATTTGCCCAGTTCTCCAAGCAAATTCTTGGGTTTCCCGTCATATTGGAGGTCAAACTCTGCCTTCAAAGACATCTGCGGCCATTGGTCGGTCCGTTCGTTTTCTTCTGCGACCTCTGCGGCCGTTGGAGAGAAGTTTGAAGAAGGCTCTGAAGAACATCTTGAAGGCTCTGGCTCCAGAACTTGCTCCCTCAAAGGAGCCAGAAGAGCCAGAAAGAACCTTCTTGCTCCAAAACTTGCTCCCTTTCTGTCTTTTCAATCTCCACCAGATAAGGTCGGTCATTTTGGCACCTCCACCACGGATCGTTCCCATGCTCCCCATGCTCCGGACCAGATTTCTGTCGTTCTTGGCCACGGGTTCCCAGCGACCTTCTCCGTGTTCCTTTACAAAAACATCAATGTCAATATCCTTAGATGAAGGAATGTGTTGCAGCTGGTTGGTGTGAGGTTCATCACCTTCAATGGGTCAAGAACGGGGGTGTGAAACACCGTTTCACCCAAATTGGATCGAACACTTAGGTGCACCCTGTTTGGGGCCGGGGGCCCCACACATGTATGCTCTCACTTTCGATGGTCCCAAAGTTGAGCTTCCCCCCCTCCAAATGCTTTGGATTCTCTCCCGGCCACCTACTCACCTCCTCACCCGGTCACCGGCCGCCCGCCGAACCAGCCGGACCCCGCGGGCTTGCAGGCTCCGAGTCCGAATCGGCGTCCGAGGCGCACCGGGGCGACAGGAGAAAAGGACGGAGAGTGAACTAGCTGAGGTCTTCAGACGCGTTTCGGTGTTGCGTATATGGTGTACTGGGTGCTACCTCGAACTTCAAGAGGCTGAGTGGTGCCGCATGTGAACCCAGACCTGCAGTGCAACAACGCTTGAAGCAGAACCCCCCCCGTTGCTTTGCGTTTCATCACGATGGTGGGGATTTCTTACATCATCCGTGCCACAGTGAAGACGTTCCTCGAGTGGCACAGACCCACCAGCAGAGACAAGACTCAATGGGCTGACTCGTTGCGCGCGCTTGGGGAAGGGGGGGCGGGGGAAAATTGGAGCCCTTTTGCCCTAACATCCGCTCCGCAGGCACAGTTCAGGCCAGTACTTGCCAGTGTGAGGCAGATCCATTTGAGGTTTTGTTTGCAGGTGATGTGGTCAAGCAAAGGCAAAGTAGAAAAGGTAAAAAGCAAAACTTGTTGTAGGAGAGCTTGGGTAATCGTTTCGACATGGAATTGGAAGAGCAATTCGCAAACTACACATTCGTCCACCGAAAGCGGCCTTCGAGCAGTGAAAAGCGGTCCATCGAGCAGTGTCCATCCACCCTCAATATCGATCCAGCAGGATGAAGATCGATCCAACACTTCAGGATGTGAAGATAATGACAGAAAGATTTGGTCAAGACCAACAGTTAGTCACACTTAGCAACAAGCGACAGATAGTGACCAGCAGGGCAGTTCTTTTGGGCGGTTGTGGTTCGTTTTGGTGACCCGCTCCCCCCGTTCCCAACAGGAACTCGTGTTGAACGAACAACCTCTGGAGACCGAAACCACATGAGATCTCGGACCTTCCTCTATGAAGAATCCGATCGGATGGACCCGAACCACATGGACCCGGACGTGCGAGGGGTCGCGCCGGTCACGCGACGTGAGGGCACCGATTCGGATGATGCCTTTGCCACTGGGTGAGGAAGAACATGGTGAGGAACGGTGCGGACGGCGTTTTTCGCCAGATGGAACTGTTCCTCAGGACTTGATGGGGCCCCCCCTTTCGATGCGTAAACTGGACCAGAAGGTGTTTTTGGGGAAAGCTTGGGAAGCTTGGTTGCACCACACTCAATTCAGCTTCCCATGAGAAAAAGGAACATCATGCTTGCTTTGGGGGTGGGGTGTTTGACATTTTGTTCCTCTTCCTGCACCACAGAGAATCCCTCAATATAGCTCTTCTATGGCATTCCCAAGAATACCAAGCGCCATAGAATTTCCTTCCGGGACTCGCCATGATGAGTCGGGTTGGTGGGATCTTCGGTGATTCGTCATGGCAACGGCGCCTTCGCACCTTTGTGGGTGTTCAAAGGGTTTATCTCTTACCCCACCGGTTCTACGCCTCCCGAGCCAATGGTTCTCCATTCTCTTGCTCCTGCTCCGAGAGCGAACAATGAAAAGGATCGGTGATCCATATCAACTGGGCTCAAAAGGGGAGAGACAAAACATTAGGGGGATACTTTCTTGGGAGGATACCTTTTGTCCCCCAAAGGTCACTCCATCGTTCTAATGGATTGGTCAAAACCTGGAGCCCTGATCCGCCATGTAGCTTGACCTTCCAGGTAGGTCAAGCGTTTGATCTCCTGGTGCCATGACCCACCGTCATTTTTCTCCATTTCGAGAAACCATGGTTTTGAGCCTAAGAGCGATGGTCCTCCAACCTACTAGCGATGGCCTCTTCGACCTCCAATCAAGCTCATCTGAAACGATCTTGTAAGGTGCACAGCTCGGAGATCCCGAGGTGCTCCTCCCGGGTGGCTGCGAAACGCCTCAACGCCTCAAACGACGGTGTTTGCGACAGGTGGATGCTGGTTGCTGCTGGTTGCGGTATGTAGACATGGGAAGGTCAAGATATCACGTCTTTGTGCTTTCTGTGGACAAACCATAAGGTGTTAGGAGCTCTTCAAGCCCCCTTGTCCTGTAGTCGAAGAGCCAATGTTGACAATTTTTTGTGGATCGATATTGAATCATGAAAAGTATCCTCAACTACTGTAATTGTGGAGCAAGGTAAGGACCTTCTTTACGTGCAAGCAGGTTTTTCGCCCTTTTGTTCCGAGATGGGGTTGCCAACTCATTTATTGGATTTCATGGGTGGGTCGCATGCTTGGAGTTCCTCCTGTTGCTGGCTCTTCTTCGGTGGTTGCCCCGTCCCGTTGTTCGGGATGGACTGGACAGGCAAAGCACCTCCTATGCGATGCACAAGGCCAAAGCTGAGAGCACCAAGGCCGTCGTCGTCTTTGACGGAGCGTGGGGAAGGGGTTTTGCAATCTTTTGTGTTTGCTTCATTTCTTTTATTGGGGGGAGAAGTGGAAGTCCACAGCCGGATTAGAACTCCAATGTGTTGGCATGAATCCATGAATTTACTTGTTAGGTGCTGAGCCACAAAAACACTCTGCACAGCCAGCAAGAAAGGGAAGGAAGTCAAGGAAGTCAACTCTCTCGCTGTTTTCCCCCCGCTACTCGGTGGAGTCGCCCCATGGTCCACGGAGTCTTCCGGTTCGAACGGTTCGATGTGTATAACGGCCAGGGCCAAGGTGTACGTCACCTCGAACCTTTCAAAGCCCTCCCAGAACATGTGCTCTTCATTGATCCAAAAAGTCAGCACGTGATGCTGAAAGTGTTCATCGTTCTATTTTTATTTTTCAAGTTTCGGTTGAAGATATATATATATATATATAGTTCTCAAAAGAGCCGAACACCCTGCAGCCCTGTCTGCGTATGTTGAGGCGAGCTTCAAGCGCCCGCAGTGGTATATGTTGATCTTCGGCAACATCCTGGCCATGATGGCTGGCATGGTGGATGTCGGTGGCTTTCACAGCAGGTGGCGAACTGGGAAATTGGGCTGTCCAAAGGACACCAGGACATACCTGAGAGGACGACACCAGGATACATCCCTGCCAGCGACTGCACCCCGTGAAAAGAGCATTTCCCAATCTCCAGTCATGGGAATGCTGGTAGATCCTGAGATCAGAGCTCACTGCTCACGACCAGAGAATCGAATTTTCAAGCCTTCAAGGTACGAGTACTAACGGAGCAAGTAGGATGAGAAGCCAGACCCGAGGCATTTGGAGTTGGGAGGGGGAAGAGGGTTTTCAAGCGAGTCTTGAGTCTTCCAAAGAATTTCAGATGTTTTCTTCTCTTCTGTCCACTAACAGATACCACGCAGAGCGATCCTCGTCCCGGGTCTGGACCCGTTCCATGAGCATTCATGGGCTCTAGGCCTTTGCTATTTGGTTTTGGGCTTGGTGCCAATTGGAGCATCCATTGCAAACGGTTTGTGAAACGAGCGCAGCAAGAGCTTCGCTTCGGGGCTCTCGAAGGCCACCTTGTTCGTGTTTTCACCTTTGCAGTATCAGCCTGGAGGACACCTCCCAAGAAGCTTCGCCTCAGTAGGGCAGAACGCTCCTTTATTGAAGCCGGGGCACCGACTGAGCCTCGATCATGTGCTTCAACGTGACCACCACTCACGTGACCGGCCAGCTGGATGGCAAGAAGTGTTCCTGGGTGTGGGGACATCACACCAGGGTAGAGGACGCTACGAACGGAGCATTTTGGGCATCGCTACGAACGGAGTGATCGGACGCGACGGTTCCGGGGCTCCTGGCCTTACTAGGAACAAGAACGCTACGAACGTAACAAGAAGCCATCACAAGGAAGAAGAGATCCACCAGGGTTGGAGCTTCGAAGCTGGATCCGTGGGGAACTTCGGGAATCGAGTCTTTTTCCCGCTGGAGGGCTATGCACAACCACGCTGGTGGTTTGAATGAAGACGGCAAATGGAAGAGCATCATGCACCCCGATTTCAGAGGTGAAGATTCCCCAAGGGGTACAGGGAGTTGGACAGTACTATATATTTCAGCATATCGAAAACAGTCACATCCAGGTTCCCTCCATTGGCAAAGTCTCTCTAGCATGCAAAAATGAGAAGCAGCACTCCGCCCTTGTCCACACATTCCAAACGACGATAAAGTGTACTTGCCCCCAGGACCCTCCTTGTGAGTGTCGCATACCAGCTTGTAAGCTCATGAAGACAGCGTACGATACAGGGTCAAAGTCATCCCCCAAAGTGTGCCTCAGGTTGGAAGGTTGCCCAAAACTTTGAATCACTCCGTTGGCGGACACTTGCGCCGGTGGCGGACGGCGAAACCATTTAAACCACCACTTAGGCCAGACACCCGGCCACCCAGACCGCGCCACGAAGAACGCCCGGAACTCGACAGAGGCAACACTGCGAAGGTGGGGATGTACATCGGCCACGAGAGCAACGAGAAGATCGACGCCGCCAAGGTAGAGCAACGCGGACTCGTCGAACATGCGCGCCACGCCGCGACGGGGTCTTCGGGATCGACGCGAGGCGAGTGGAAGCAGAGTTCGTTGGTTTACACCCGCCCCCGCGGAGAGGTGTAGAACCAGAGCTCCTGTTTGTTGGAACCACTCTGGACATTGGCCTAGCATGGAGCATGGGGTGTTCTACAAACAGAGCTCCTGTTGGAACCACTCTGGACATTGTGGCGTTTGTCATGCATGGCACGAGTACGAGTGGCAGTCCGTTTGTCCTGCATCGGTGTGGCAGGCAAAGCAGCTGGGGCTCTGCGTGCTCTTCTTCTGCTTCGGGTCCTTCTTGTGCGGCCTCATCATTCCCAAGACCCAGCTGCCTGACGCATGATGGTGCTTGTTCTGCCAAACTAGGAGCGATTGAGAAGGGACGACGTGGAGGGGAGGTATAGGTAGGACCAGGTAGGAAGATGTGTTTTGAAAAGAGGGATCGAGCGTGGATGTGATTCTGTGGATTGGGTGTATTGGACACCGGATTCCTCTGGACACTCTGGGATGAGTTTAGGACGTTCTGGTACTTCAAGCTGTTTTGGTCGGTGCATCTTCTCTTTTTCGCTTTTTTCATGGTTGTAGGATTCACCCAGCAACATGCTGATAGATTCTATAAGATTCACCTCTTCAAGAGAGCTCTAGAAAAGCCTTTCAGCCATTCTTATTGAATATTCAGATATGCTGCGACATCTCCATCTTTATTAGATGTCCTTTCTACCTGACCACAAGTTGCACGGCTTTCCAGGTTTCAGTCTCTTGCGCCGTGAGACGAAACCGAGGGGAGGTGATGGACGAACCGACTGTCCAACTATAAGTGACTGTTTATGACGACCAAAAAGGGGGGACCTGCCAATCCAAAGGACCAATGGACTTCGTTTGGGGATCGGACATCTGTTCCTCCACGGTTCACATGGACAGTTGTTAGTGAGACCCGTGGCCCCACACATGCTGGCTCAGGGTCCACATTGGTGGCAAAGGCCTCTATGGCACAGCGCTCATCGCCGAGTGTGCCCATGGCAGAAGAAACGAGTAGAGAATGACAGGCACACCTCTGAATAGATATCACTATAGACTATAGTAGCTAGTATAGTAGTTAGTTCATACGTGAGAAGAAGAGCCAGGATCCAAACAGCGAGGAACTGACGCAACCTTTACTTGTGAGCCCCTGCTCACTGAGACTCGAGACGGTCGAAAGCGATGACACAGACGGTCCGGGGCTGTGTAGCTTGTAGACCCGCAACGAATAGGTTGTCGACGACCTCCACGTGTTTGGACGGCCGGTCAGGTCTGTCTTGGTCCACGTCCGAGTCATATCGCCCCGTCGCGCCATCCGGCGAGAAGCCAAAATGACCCAGGAATTACAGAGTATATCAGAGTTGATAATATATATATATATATATCAGAGTATCTTTGCGCAAGAGATATTCTTCCTTGTCTTGCGGATCCTTCTGCATCTGTTGCTTCTGCATCTCACAGTCTTCTGGGATCCAAGGTGCGCTTTTGTTGATCGCTTACTTTGACCCCAACCATGAGGCGCTCGGCGTTCTTTTATACAAAGCCGCGTGTTTCGTTGACCGCCAAAGCCGAGCCGTGTTTCGTTGACGGTCCTGGGTTCAATAGGGCCTATAGTCCAGAAAACCCGACCGGATGTGACCGCTGATGAGGATTCGCTGTTTTTTTTTTTTAATCGTTTTGTCCTTCCAACTGTATAAATTGACCGAGTGAAATTCACCTGAGAGTTTCTCCTCCTGCATCACCTGGGTGATCGTATTCTCTGGCCATGCTTCCCTTGTATTTCTGCCGAGGGCCAAACCACCCATGGGTTCACTTGATGATCGTCACGGCCTCTGGTTTGACCTCCCGAATGAACAGAACGTTGTTCTGACAGGACCCATTTAGGGACCGGTGGATGGATTGCACCATCCACTTCCACGTGGTGTACTGGCAAGATAGAGAAGCTTGACATAGAAAGATAGACAGATGGGTGCGACTTGCAGGTCATCTCTGTTAAAAGTTTTCCCCGAACAGGAAGCTGCGGTTTTATCATTGAAAATGAAACAAATATCCACCAGGTCCATTAGGTTTACCATGTTTTGGTTTTCATCCCTTTACAACTTGTCGCACCAGTCAGTAGAGAAACATCTGAATCTCACCAGTCAGTAGGCTTGCTCCTCGGCGTGCGCGCCTTCCGTGGACCGCTCAGTTCGCGCCCTTCTGGGCGGCCATGGCTTCGGGCCTTCAGAACGCCATGTGTACCATGCACTTTGGAGCCGTGGCACCTGTGCCAGAAAGGTCTGGGGTCTGGGGGAGAGAGAGAGAGAGTGCTTTAGAGGGTATGAGCGCTCAAAAAAGGAGGCTATGGCACCACAGGGATGTAGGGGCGAGATCCTCCAGCTTCCGACTTCGCCGCTCCGGTTTTTCAGCTCGATCTGGTTGATCGTCCGTCCGTCGTCCGATCCGGGTTGAGTGGGTCGCGTGGGGGGTCGACCCACGGGTGCCTCCCCAAAACTCCCAGCTTTCCAAGCTGAGTTCGTGGAAAGCTTTGTTTCGTTTCTTCGTTTCCCCCCGGAGGTCCGGCTCGGTCTTTCCACAAGCATTGCCTTGGCCAGGTCTGGCCCGTTTAGCTCTCCGTCAAGCGACCGGTCGCTTGACGCGATTCCGGTCTTCGGTTCGGTTTGGACCTCCCAGGTGCGAACCACCCACGTCACCGGATGCATTACGGACATCGGCTCCACCGCCGGCCGCGCCGCGATCCTGCTGGTGCGGCGGCTCTTTTTGCGGGACGGCTCAGGCGCCCGGTGAGTCGTTGGGACGGGGACGACGTGGACCGGGGGGGCTCTGGAGGGGAGTCTGGCTGCGGTCTGGCTGCGGTCTGGCTGCGGTCTGGGGTTTTCCCCAAATGCGGTTGGACTTGGACTTGGAGGACTCACTGGAGCTGTGAGCTGTGAGCAATCGAGATGGCAGGCTCAAAAAGAGTCACTGATGGCCACCTTGCAAAGTTACTACCATGAGCATATATCATATATCCGTACAGTGAGCCCCATACAGAGTTTAGAAGATGTGGAAGTATATGATTTTATGTTTTTTTTCCCCAAACAGTTTACTGTTGGGGTTCTATCTTAGAAAGAAAAGAGCTGGCCACACTCACTGGCCGCGCCCCTGAACTCTGTGGCTGGGCTCTGTGGCTGGGCTTCGTGGCTGGGCTCTGTGGCTGGGCCTTGTCCTCTTGGCTTGGCCGCGCCCCTGAACTGTTTGGGGTCTATGCTTGTATAGTTCTTTATAATCATGTACCATTCATTTTCATTGAGCTTCCACTTTTCCATATTATGTCTCATGTCCTTTCTTTCCACCACGCCAGGTCCGGAGATCTGCACCTCACTTCGCTTTCATCGCCGTCCGCCGTCCGCCGTCCGCGGCGAGGCACACAGCTCCTGGACGAGGCCGAGCTGCACGTGGACAAGCGAAAGCTGCTGGTCACCTGGCGCGACCCCTCGACGGTCGCTGTGTTCGATGGCCGCGGTGTGCGGCCGGGGAAGGCCGGAGGAGCGCAGTGCCGGTCCGTTCGATGAGACCGACATTGAGGGGTTTCGTTCGCAGCAAGCGGCATTAAGAAGACATTCGGTTGGGGTCTGTGGGTCAAATTGGGGTCGGTGTGGAGGTTCGTTCTGGCCAAGCACACATTTCGGTGAGTGATGCAGTGCCATGTTTGGCTTGATGGTTGTTTGACCGTTGTCCTGCGACTCTGGAACTCCTGGACCAATGGCAACGTAGGGTTCACTATGGTTCACTTCTACTCTTACAATGAGGAGCCGCGGTTCCAGAGGGGCCACAGGGGGTTTGAACAGCTATTAAAAAGATCTTCCGCCTTTTTGGATCAGCTGAAAAAAACCCAGCCCTCGAGGCCCTCGAGGCCACTGACTCAGTCGAGGTTGAGAGGTTTTTTGGGACTTGTCGATGCTGGCCCCGTAGGGTCCCGGGTCCGGGTCCCGGGTCCAGGATCGATCTTCCAAGGGACCTAGGTCTAGGTGTGGATCCCAGCTGTGAAGCAGAAGATAATTGCAAGCCTGAGTCAGGACAGTCACTAAATAGGAGTTTCCAAACCTACTGGGAATTAACACTGCACTTGTACAGTGTTGATGCGCAAGAAGTACCTCGATGCTCTCTCACAAGGAGAACAGCTAGACGTTCGCATGGATAACCAGGAGGAAACCAACCGTTCGCAAGCTGAACGAGGCGCAACTCCCTAGACAGGGTCCACAACATATTATGTATATGACAGGCAGAAGGATCTGGAACGGGAACTCTAGGGTCGGCCTAGCAAAAGACTTTCTGAGGTTCTTGTGCCTTTGTACCTCTTCTTCTTGCTGGGCTGCATTGTAGGCACGTCGAAGGGCTGTCGTGGCTTTCAGACCGCAGAGCGTTCAGCTGTCAAGCGACAGCTGTCGGTTTCAGCCTCTGAGCCATTGGCAGGCCACCACTAAGTTGAACCATCGTCGTTGATTCAAAAGTTGTAAAACCTGAGGTGCTTCACCCCCACTGGAAGATCTGGAAGTGTCAATGGCATTCAATGGTCCGTCTTTTTGAGAAGAAACTACTTGGAGACTTCCAAATAGCCTCCGTTCCGGAACATGACGGGTCTCTCTGTTGTGCTTAGAGGAGCCATTTCGTACCGGGAGATTTCCCACAACACCTTCTTGATCCCTGCGGGCGTGACGGGTTGCATGGGCCTCATCTACAGCACCCTGCGTGCCTGGGAGGAGAGGAGGAGGTGGGTGCTTTCTGGGCGCTCCAATGGCCGATGGGAGCCGCGTGTCGCGTCAGGTCTAGTGGCTTTTAACACCTTTTTGGGTGGCGGGCGCAGCTTTGAGCCTCCAATTTTTTGCGGCAAACCTGGTGAGAAACGTGTGTAAATTGGGAGAGCCAATTTGGATCGGCAAGATTCCTAGAGATTCCCCAAGACTCCTAAAGTTTATCAGTCCTCAGGGTTCCTTGTCGACGTTGGTTGCGTATGCCTTTGCTTTGTGGTCTTGATTCCCGAAAGTCAAGTAACCCCTCGGCGGCCGAGACCATGAAGCGTACAAGACGGATTTATATATATATACAATATACACATCTCCACATCCCCACATTACACTGAAGGCCTGCATGTGGATTGGTATATATATATATATACACATATCTCCACATCCCACATCCAGCGGACCGATGGTGTTGCGTGTTTGGACCAGTGCAAAGCTGATTTGGCATCCCTCCCATGATCTGCCGGCATGTTTGGGGGAGCGCGCCATAAGCCCAAGCGACACATCATATGCAAAACAGCCCAAACAGCCACAACAGCGAAGCAAGCACTCCGTGGGCTCTTCGCCCACGGGCTAAGGTGAAACTTTGAAGCAAACGATCAAGACCATGGAGCAGACGCGATTGGTTTCGGACCCGTGGTGGAACGAAGGATTGGAGTCGGAGCGAGAGGGTCTCATTGGTGGCGAACGCTCCTTTTATTTTTGGACATGGGGCTGAAGACAGGGAACCCTTGGATCAATGCGCTGAGGGATTGTTTGAAGGTTGTTGAGCAAATCGACTGATATATATATATATTATATTTGAATGTAAATGTAAATACCATTCAGAAGGGCGGGGCTTCCTGACCGAGCACATTTGATGGACGAATCGAAGCAACTGAGGGGAAACTGAGCAGTTTTGGCGGTCTCCCTATCACATGACATTTTTTAGAATATCTTTTTTGTTGCTTTGTCAGCATGACGGGATAGATGCCCACCCAAAGCTTGCAACAAAGCACGGATATACATATCACTATATGACTGTCTGCCGTGCCGAAAGACATTTTAAGGATCATTTTTGACCAGCCCCTGCACATCAGGACCCTCACTGCCAGGTCTTTTGTTGAGGGTTGTTGGGCCCTAACTGGCATTTGAGCGGGCGGCGCCGGGGCCCTCGGCAACACCTGTTTGTCAGTTATGTTCTTTTGCAGTGAATGGAGGAGATCCCTTGGTGCCTTTTGTCACAATCCTAATGGAATCACCTACAAAACAACCAGACCTTTCCAGACATTGACGCCCTGCATGAGGCCTCTGGTGCCTTACACTCCCAAGTGCCCAAGGAACTTCCCCCACCGAAGCGCCCATTGGGCCCCACTCCGTTGGGGCCGCCGGAGCCTCGCTTCTCATCGGTCAAAGAGGAACGTCGACGTCGACTTGGTGCTGGAATTCGTCGTCTGGGGGTGAAACATGGTATTTTTCTGGGCGTCCACCAAGCGTATCAAACATCGAAGGGTCTCACTTGTCTGACGACCCATCGTCTTCCGACGTCGACCGAGACAAGCTTCAGACCGTCGGTGCGGGGCTCTTCGTCGAACCGGAGACGTCGGAGAGTTGGGGGGGAACGCTGGATCCTCTCATCTTCTCCGAGGATCTGGATGAAGTTCAGGCCCGATTGGATCGCACGCAGAAGACGATCCGCAGGCGGGGCGGCGCACGCGGAGGACCCGCAGTTCGGGGGGCTCTGGCTGGGGGGCCAAGGTAACAGACATGGACCTCTGCGCACTGGCGGAGAAAAGTCCCAGGGCTGGTTGATTGACTTGGGGTCAATGGGTTCATTAACTAAGGCATCGATTCCAGTTTTTCATTCGTTGGAGACCAATGTATGAGCATGTGCCTCGATCCGGCCAGCTGCGGGTGCTGTGCTCCGAGTCTCGCCATCTGTGCGCCATCTGAGTGGACTTGTTCCTGGGTTGCCCGGACCAAGTCCTCCAGCAACACAGAACGGGTCGCTCCAGTTCATCCTGGAACTTCCAGTGAAAAGGAACCTCCCTCCATGTCTGACCTTCTTGGTCAGTCTTGGAATGGTCAGGGGGATGGTGGAGACCAACGGTCCTAGTCCAAACCTCCGCAAAACGCGCCCCCTTTCCACCACCAAACTCCGAAAGGGAGAGGAAGTGCAAAAGGGTCTCTCTTTTCGCTTCACCAGATGTGAGAGGCCTCCGCCCCCCTTTTCTTCGTCCCTTTGCTCCGTCCCGACCTGCCCGGGACCGGGGGCCCTCCGCGACGTCCGGGCCTCCCTTTGCTCCGACCCTTCCGGTGCCTGACGAGGCTGCAGCATCGACAGAACAGCGACGTGGGCTCCCGGGAGCGTCTGCCCAACGTGGCCGAGCTGGACGAACAGATGAGCACCGTGGCCGTGAAGGGGACGGGACGAACGTGTGGGACGGGACGAACGTGGCGGCCGAGCGGTTCGGTTCAAGGTGCCCATGTGGCGGACAGGTGGACAGCTCTGGGTCGGTGGGCGAGCTGGGTTTAGAACCGAAGCAAAGGAGACAACACATGGGAAAGCAAATGAGATGTTCGGGTTATGCTTCTGGGATTCAATCGACCAGGTCTGCACACACTGGGCATCCCTTATGCGGAAAACCCGCCTCGTTCGGTTCCGGCAAAGTGTTTTTTCGTTCAGGTGGTTGTCAACTGCTGGCGCCTGCGTATTCAGGCGCCAAGACTTCATTTTCCTGAGGACCCTGGGCCTCCTTGATCATCATCAACAGGTTCTTTTTCAGATGGTGAAAGAGCGCTCCTTGATGGACAGACTCCTAGATTGCCTGAGGTGCAGAATGCAGGGATACAAAGTTTATGGGGCATCCAGCAGAAGAGGAGCTTCCGATCATGATAAACCGGATTTGGACAGGATCAACAAGGGTTCCTAAAATGCGCTCTTATTCCCTCGGTTAAGACACCTTTTGCCCCTGCCCCAGACACATCAGCATTGGCACGAGACGCCAATAGTAGAGCACCGCCGCACCACTTGAGATTGTGTCCCAATTCTCGGCGTTGATTCTTGTGACTGGATTGTGGCCAGTGGTAGCGAAGGAAAGTGGACATTGCACATCCTTCCTTGGAACAGAGGCATGTTTTTTTGCTTTTGTTTGACGATTGTGGCAGGTTCATGTTTTAAGTGCGGCATGCAGCACACCGGATGAGTTCCTTTCATCGATTGGAGGGTATCAGCTTGCGGCCAAAGCTTTAATGCATACACTTTCCGAACAGGGCCCACCCCACCCTATTTAATCTGGAGTACAGTACCTATCCTCATTTGATGGAAGATGTTGTGAAGCAAAAATCGCCTCGCTCGGAGCGATTTTTGTCCCCTCTCTCTCTCTCTCCCTCTCTTCTCGCTTTGCTGAGATCAAGTCGCGGAGATGGTGAACGACATGGAGTGGACTCTGGGTGAGATGTATGATGCAGAGGAGCGGCGTCTCTTTCACGAGAACTCACCGGGTGTGTGGGTTCGGAGGTGGAGTTGAAGGATACCTGGTCAGTACAGCGCTCTGAATCGAAGTACCATAGTACCACGGATACCTAACATGGGCTGCATGGGTTGTCCGTCCTGTTCCAGCGAATCGTCGTCGGTTGGTTTGCCGCTCTCTTTCAATCCACCAAAGAAGCCTGTTCCAGCTTCTCATGTCACGATCTGTCGCAGCCCACTGTGACAGACAGGGCCGCTGCAGCGAGCGAACGAACACTCCCTCCGGTGTGCTCCGACGTGCTCCCTCGCCCCGAGACACGCGCCCGGACCGAGACGGCACCCCACTCCGAAGGAAGGCCGAACGGCGGATCGCAGGGGGTGGGGCTCGTGGATCGGGCGAAACGGAACCTCATTTGCATCGAGGGAGACCGGAGATCAGGCAGTTGGCCTGCGACTGATGCAAGGCTGCCCTGCCGTGCCGTCCCATGGACTGAGCTGAAAACGCCCCACCATGCCTCTTCCCGAACATATGGTTATAGTATGGGGTCATAGTGGGAGAGTATTGTAGAGATTTGATTAACATCCCCCCACCTACAGTAGATGGTCAACGATTTCCATATGTTTTTCTACATTTGTCCCATTCTGTGCACACTGGTCGTCCCACAGGAGCGTGCCCATGCTCGACAGCGGACAGTCTGACAGGCTGGGAGGGTGTAGGTTGGTTGGCTGAAGAAAAGCATTGCAGTCAGTCAGTCAGTCAGCCAGTCAGGCAGGCAGGCAGGCAGACGGTCAGGCAGTCAGTCAGTCAATCAGTCAGTCGGTCAGCAGTTTCTAGATTTTCCTGGGGCATGAACCTACATATATTGTATATACTATTCTGGGCAGTAGAACAAGGAGACCACGCATGAGCACAGCTTACAAAGCGTTGCTGAAGAGACCACGCTGGCGCAGGACACATGCTGTAAAGAATCCACCGAGGATCATGCTGTTCGCACAGGAAAAGCATGTGACTGTGCTCTGGGGGGGTACACCTTGATTTGCGAGGGGGTACTGCTCTGGGGGGGTACTGCTTCAAATGGAGCAGTCACTGTGCGACTGTACCACCAGATCCAGACCGCATGGACTGCCGAACTCGATCCAGGCTTCGGCCACGGCTTGGGCCCCACACCAGGCGGCGGCCACGGCTGCCTTCGCCGCTTCATCCAGCGACCGGAGCGCGGGCGGAGCGGACTCGGCAGAAGTCGCGAGACCGAACAGCGTCTCAAGCGGAGAGATGTGGAGATACACGACATTCCTATCCAGCAAAAAGTGGATCACCTGCAAAACCATGCAAACTCCATTTTTTGAGGGATTCGCTTCTCCACGAAAATATGAACCCATGTAACACGTGTTGCCTTTTTGTCACTGGTTCACCGGGATTTCTGGCTCGGGAGTCAGACATGAAGCAAGCCTCGACGAAGCAACCATTCGACCCAAGGTCGAACAGTTGGTGTCAACCATGTCACGTACAAGTCCAGTTCCTACGTACGTCCAGTCTGACCCAGTAAAATAAGGTCGTTTGCTTGCTTGAATAGTGTTTTTGATTGTTTTTGTATGACCAACTCCAGTATTTTATGAGGTCAAACTGACCAGTAGGGAGTAGTTTTCTGACCAATCCAGTGAAATCAAAACTGGCCCAGTGCATCCCAGTTACCACTATATAAGGAACCAGGGGCCCTCGTTCGGTCTATGTTTTTCGTCTTTGGAACCACTGGTTACCAGCGACATCGTGGTAACTGAATGCCCTGGATTTCCGCACCCCTTGACTTTGGTGACTTCTGGACGATGTCTGCCGTGTCGGTGCCCGCAGCGGAGAGTCCTTTCATCTTCCCGGCCACCGCAAGAGGTTTTCAAGGTGTTGCGCGTGAAAGAAGCCCTTTTTTCTGTGGCATCATGCGTGACTCCAGCCTCAACGGATTTGGCCTGTGCTTACATCAAAGACACAGTTACATTTATCATTCTCTTGTTTTTCCATGGATGGCCTGTTAGGCCCCCTGGGATGGGAAGATGAATGCATTTCTTGTACTAGGAATGCTCGTTTCAGTTTGGACCAGCTGCGAACTGATCGCCCAGCTGCGCGTTTGCGCGGAGATCGGATTTCGACGGGGTACGCGAAGCCGACCCAATCGGATCGATTGTTTCGAGAGTCAAAAGGCACCGGCAGCGGGACATGCAGTTGGCACGGCGGGAAAGTGGAATGATAGCGGAGTTCAGACGGTTCAGGCACCTTTACTGGGGGAACACTGGGCATGTTTGGGGCACTGCGACCCCAAACATGGTCTGTGAGTCTAGGTTGGAGGCCATCGCTAGTAGGTTGGAGGCCATTGCTATTATATTGAGAGAAAACAAAAGGAAACACAAATAAAAGCCTCAAGAGGCAAACTCCGCCACCTCATGTTTTCAAAAAAACTCCTCAGGAGTTCGCAAAAGTAACACCTCCGAAGCCCCATCACACATCAAGCAATTGAGGCAACAAGCCCACGGTTCCGTGCCGGTTCCGTGCCGAGCCTCGACCGAGCCTCCAGGAGCGGCCTCTATCGAGCGGTCGAGCTCTACAGCCGCCAGGCCGGCAGGGCGACCGGGACGGACCGTCCCTGAAAAGGGACGGTCGCGGCCTTGGAAGCGGTGAAGAATGTGGCGTGTTTTGAGAAAAAAGTACAACAAGCAGAGGTATCTATCAATGGATCGATCTAAAAAATGGGGTATTTGGGAATGGTCCGAGATGGAAAGCAGCCCAAAGAATTTGAACAGATGTGAGTTGGTTGGTTTTGTGAACCTTTTTTCCATCGATTTCCAAGACTCCTGTTCTATGTCAGGCGGAGGAAGCCCTCCGCACCCTTCGCGCTTCTAGCGAGGTCCCGTTTTGGGCGAAGCACCTGTAGTCTAGCCCTTTGTCCCCACATTCTAGCTGCCAGCCCAACACACTCCCCCCATCGCATGCCCAACACACTCCACATACCGAAACGACGCTTTTTGGTGTGTGTTCTATTTTTGGTGCTCCTTCTGCGCGCCCGCACCTGCGCGCCGGCACGCAAGGACCACAGGACACTGCTTTTGTACAGGTTCTGGAGCTTTTCGTGCCTGTTCTGTTTTTCGTCACTCGTTTCCCGACCGCAACGGCAGACCGACATCGCCCAGCGCTCGCTCCGGACTCCGTAGAAAAAAAGCAGGAATGCCGTCCCCGACCCGCTCGCGCTCAGGTTCATCGTCCTATATACCGTAGTTGGCAGATTTGGGGCCTGATTTGTCCCATCTCTCTCTGCAGATTTTTCCAGACGGGCCCCTTAAACTCAACATAGATCGATTTCAATGAGTGGCAAATCAAAAAACACATGCTGTCTTGCCCAATTCTCCCTCCCTCACGATTTGGAGACCCCCAACCACCCAGTCACTCACGGAGCCAGGTGGAGAAGCGGCCCTGGATGATCATCTTGTGCCTGGGCGGAGAACGTGCAGAGGCGGTGTTCCACGTTGCCACACGGTGCCACACGGTGTTGGGGAACGAGGCCCCATGCCAGTGGGCTGTCATAGGGTAGTGGAGGGCAGTGGAAAAGACGAGGGACATGCATGACATGTGTTATTTGCCAGAGGGTTCTAGTTAGCCTGTCTCACATGTAACCTTCCTGAATTCCCTGAATTCATGATCAACGCGACTTTGACCACCGTTTTTTTCTTCCTGTTTTGTTCACTAATTTTATTGGTGTTTCCTCACAACATCTTCCATTCCGAACCATCTTCTAAGGCCACCAAAACATATTGGGAGGAAGGGCCATCAGCGAAGAATTGCTGTGGTTGTTGAAGACCATCCACCGTGGTGCTCCTCTTCACCATGGGGTTGCCGAAAGAGATCCATCGCCAGTTGCCGACCCGGGGCCTCTTCCACCAGTTGCATGGTGAACATTCGACCCACCAGTTGCATGCCACATGTTCAGAAT